TTTGTCATGGACTAAGAGCGCAGAGTCCCCTCCCATTACATCCTCTTTTCTTCACCTGTCAGATTGTCCATGCATAGATAAAAGCAGAGCTCTGTGATGATTCAAATTCACTCGTTGACTCTCTTAGGTTACTCCACTTTTTTTTTTATAGAACTGGGAGCTATACCCGTCAAAGACAATGACTTCATTGGAGTTCGGTTGGATATTTTATCCCCAGATAAATGTTTGAATGCAGCAAAGTATACTAAGAACCTTGGTATTATTGCCTTGAATATGCAAGAGCTGCAGGGCTCCTTGGTGTTTCAAGGACTGTGTTTGCTTGCTTGCTCTCTCACTTGTTCGTTCACTCGCTTGCTCGCTCACTTGTTTGTTTGTTCAACCGTTCGGTTGTGTCCCACTCCCATTATTATCACAGCACTACATTAAATTAAAACCAACAACAATAACCCTAAAAACAGTGAATTCAGGAAATTTATCTAAGCCATACCCTGAGAGTAAAAGCAAGCAGAGAAACAGGAAGCTACTTTATACTGAGCCAGACCAGTGGTTCCGTCTACCTTGGCATTGTCAACTCTGTCTGGCATCAGTGGTTCTCTGAGGTTTCAGGTAAGATTATGTCCAAGTCCATGCATTCCTTGGTGGTGTTCCATTAAATTGCTAAGTAGATCTGAACCAGTCTAGCTTTCAAAGTTAAAATTAAACAAGATCAGGTGTGGTTGTTGTGGGTTTTCCAGGCTATTTAGCCTTCTTTTTAAGCTTTTTCTTCCTAACGTTTCGCCGGTCTCTGTGGCCGGCATCTTCAGAGGACAGGAGTCAGAGCTCTGTCTGTGCTCTGGTGAAGATCAGGTGTGTTCAGATTGTATGGTAGTTTTGTTGCTGATATCTATAGGAATCACGTTCGCATTTTGGCAAACGTCTAGTCACAGTCTTCCTCCTTGGAATGTCCTTTACTCTCTGCTGCTGCTTTTTCTAAGCTCACATGGCCCAGCAGAGTAAGGAGCAACTTGCAGAGAAGGGAGGGAAGGAGAATGGCCCCTGGCATTTGTTTGGAATCTCTGGAATGGCAGCTCTGTGTTGGTAACCTTTCAACCTTTGCTTGTGCTGAGGACTTTCCTGAGCTGCTGCGAAGAGAGTTGGTATGGTAAGTGAAATTTAATGGAGTTCCTCTGCTAACTTGAATGCTATTTATTGAACCCTCATCAGGGTGGTAATTGGCCAAAACAAAGAATGCCCATTGAGCCAATGTCCTAAAATGCAGTTCACTTTTTCCAGTATGATGATACCTCAGCTCTGCTTCCTTCTCTCTTCTTATTCTGAAATCCGTCACAGGTTCTTATCTGATTTTTAAAAAGCGGTGGTAACTACAAGCAGACAGAAAGAGAGCTGAGAAACGTACTTGAGAATTATTAGCCACACATGACCATCAACACAAAAGAAGAAAGCTTTAGATACCCTCCCACCACCCCCAGTGTTATAAAATTTGAAAAATTCAGGGCTATAACACAAGCTTATATTTCCCGTTATCAGTGTATTTGGACTTTTTTTCTTCCCTCCTTTTTTCCTGTTTTTTTTTATCTGAACAGTGTTGACTGCTGCAACATTTCCCAAGCCCTTTTTTGTCTGATCTCCCTCTCCTCTTCTTATTTCTCCCACCTTCCTGAGCGTGACAAGAAGACAAGGAGCTTCCAAGGGAGGGGGTGGTGGCAGCTCTGCCTCCTCTGTGAAATTACGGCAGTATGTGGTGACATGTGCAGAGAAGCCTATGGGCAGCAGGTGCTGGGGGAGGGATCAGAATGCAAGATAAACTAGGGTGACCACTCACAAGGGAACACTGGCCCCAGACCCCTTGCAGGCCAGTGAACCCCATCATTGTGCCTTTGCCTGCTCACAGAAGAGAAGGGCTGACTGTTCTGTGTGTGATTATCTTGAATATATTTTTTGCTTCATTCCACGCCTAGATTTAACGGCTGCTATATAGAGAACCCCAGGATATGAAAATATAATTTGATGCTGGGGCTAGTTTTGGCAGGACTCCTGGGTAGGGCCTTCAACCTCATTAGTGCACCTTCTGAAAGAATTATAATAGTGGCTGCTGCTGCAGCACTTACTAACAAGGCCAGACATCTGCTCCAGCAAAGTGTGCAGAAGGGGAGGGAGGGAGATGCAGTGAGCTTTGCTTCACAGATGCCCAAGGAACATCAACAATCAACTCCTGAAGTTGGACCTACTTGATAGGACTCTATTTCCTTTAGAGCTGTGTTATCTGTCTGCTGCTTGTGCCGAGTGCTAGGTTCCAGGTGATGGATGTTGCATGGTGGAGTGTTGCTTGGCACTCCCTGTCTGCCCTTTCCATACTGATTTCATCTTCTTATTTTTCAAATGGCAAAGAGCTACAGGAGCATGGCAGTGAGGGAGAGATGGACGCATTTGCAGTATTTTGCACACATCTGTGCTTTAAAATAAGGTATAAGACAGGACTGCTGAGCAAGGAAGTTACCACCAGTTCCTCTGATTTTTCTGTTCTTCTGCACTCTCTCTATACTAGTATGGAGTGACATCTCAGTACATTTGTGAGCGAAACAGTGAGAACAGATGAAGGATTTAGATCAGTAATTCCCAACCCAGGTGTTCTTGGACTAAAACTCCCAGAAGCCTTCACCACTTGCTGTGCTGCCCAGGAGTTCTGGGTGTTGCAGTCCCAGAACACCTGGGTTACCCAAGGTTGGGAATCACTGCTCTAGATGACTGTGCAAGAGGCAGAGGACGGCCTTTCCATTAAATCTCCATCTGGCTGCCACTATGGCTGCAGCTTAGAAGGGCTATGTCTGGCTTTTTTTTTTACAGAACTAATTTTGGAGCATTTTTAGTTAATTTCAGATGAATACAACTGTTTTCTTCTTTGTTTGGTGGGAAAACATAAGAGTTAATATCTGCATGAGTTGCCTAAAATTTATACAGCTTCTACAATGCTCTATCTTACTTGTGCAGTCTTTTATCTGGAAATGTGTCTTGCATGTACCCTTTTAGAACAGTGCGTACCAACAAATGTGCAAAATATGAAACAAGCATGACCATCATCATTCAACACAAATGATCCAGTGATTGCCCACTTAGGTTCCACTCCACTTTTTATCAGTGAACACCAGCTCTTTTCTTCCTAATTTTAAACTGTAGGGCTGTCCTTCCTCCAAGCCTTGCAGGTTTAACAGGCAAGAAAGCATGAGCTTCTGCAGTCTATGCTGTCTGAATGCCATGCATTTGCCATCAAAAGGAGATGCTTTAGCCAAGAAATGATTTAATTTTTAAAAAGTTTGGGAAGGTTGGGGGATTCTGGGAGACACCTTTGGGGCAGCAAAGAGTATTCTGAGGTCATGGGCAGCATGCTGTCCGTCCTTGGCCTAATCTCGCTATTTGGTTCTTAGTGAAGTCTGGCTTCAGAACTCTTGCTTTCTATTCTGCCCCCAAAGAAAGATTACATTGAACTCACAGCTATAGAAGTGTAGAAACCTGGTGTATATTCGGGGGATGAGGGCAGCCACAGGAAAAGATGTTGCAAATGCAGTACCTGACCTAGCTTTCACATCCCTGTCCTTTTATGAAGGACAAAAGAGATGCATTTGATACAGAAGCTCTTCTACACAAGCCCCTCGCTGACACTTCTTGGACTAGAGCAGAAAAGAGGAGTGCCGCTCTTGCAGAATGTCCCCACTGGAAAGAAGGTAGACAGGGGCACTCAACAATGTCCCAATGACAGGTTACCCAACAGGACAACTCTTGTGAGGATATGACACAAGAGTGACACACTGCCTCTCTTGCAGCATGTTGTGACCACTGAGATAAAAGAGAGGCTGTTCACCTATAACTGATATTTTCAGTTGGATTTCCTGCATAGTTACCTGACCTGCCTGTTTATGCCCCTGTGTCATCTTTGGTTTTTTTATACAGTCAGGAGGGAGCTGGACAGCTTGCCTGCCCTAAAGAGATGTTCAATCTGGCTGCATCTTCCTATTCCCATAGAGCGGCATGAGCATCTGCTCCATTGCTAAGTAACATTCTTTCCCTACATATGGAATGGATGACAAGAACAAGTTTGCTGACGTCTTAAAAAAAGAGATTCTGTGGAAGATACAGATGCCATATAAATATTTTGACAGATGGAGTTCGGACTACTCCGTCCCCTTCCCTGTCCTGAAATGAATACACGTGTGTGTATGCGTGCGCGTGCATATGTGTGTGTAATTCTGATTTGTAAGCCATACAGGCTACAAGGTATTATATTTTTAAACTGATAGATTCTGTTATATTGTTATTCTTGAAAAGCTGTTCCGAGTCTGGGGACTTGAATACTAAAGAAGACTGTTTGGGGCCTGAAACAGGGCTACGAGTAGTAAGGTCCAAAATAGTGTTTAAATGTCTAGTCACATGTCCTGAGATTTCCAGGGCATTATCTGCCAGATTTCTAAACCCTTTTGGCATGGAAGGGTGAAAGGCATCTGAGAGGCAGATGTGGCTCATGAACCACTGCTTTAGATGGACAATTTAAGATTACTAAAATGCCAGGAATCACCATTTTCCTCAGTAGGCAGATGATGGGCTAGGCCTGTAGAACTTACCTGATGAGAACTTTCCGTTTCTACCTCCCCTGCTCTCGAAACACAGACTTTTTTTCACTGATGCTTAGGGTGGCTGGGGGTGCCCCATCCCTCTTGCCATGCCACTGCATGAGCCTGTTCATACCTAGCGTGTGCTCTCAGGGACTTTTTTTCACTGATGCTTAGGGTGGCTTGCCACTGCATGATGCTGTTCATACCTAGCGTGTGCTCCCAGTGTACCATTAGGTTGGGATGAGAAGAGCATGAAAGAGGAGATGGCCGGTAGTGTGGCAGGTCAGAGGTGGGCTAGCATTTATCTGTTTCTTTATTTACTTCTTTATTTCCTTTATTTCAAGTGAGAAATACTTCTAGAAGAGACTTACAACCAATGTATTTTGTTTCCCACAGTATGAATTCAAAGCCAAAAATATAAAGAAGAAGAAGGTTAATCTGGTGGTGTCCATAGATGGTGTAAAGGTGATCCTAAAGAAGAAGAGGAAGGTGAGTTTCTAATTTCCCAAGCTGTGGCCAGCCCTTATCCCTACACGTAGAATTCCATTCATAGATTAGGCAGAGGCTCTGACATGCCCTGAGATCCTGGACTCCAAAGTCCTGTCCTGGCATCTCTTAGCATTCTTTGGGTTCGAAATGGATGTAGTGTAGCAGGACTCTGTTTCTTATCAACTGTCATGCTGTAGCTTGACTGCTGTGTCTCATGCTGCAATGCTACTGTGAAAATACGAGAGGAAATTTGCATGTTCATGTAGCTCTTATATTGTGTTAGCTTTGTTGCAGCAAGAAAAGAGTCCTATATTCCCCCCCCTTTTTTTTACTAAATTACCCATAGCAGACAAGAAGCCAATAGTTTTCAGTTGTACGAATTGCGTGAGCTGATGGATGTGGTAGGAAATGGGTCACTGTGAATTTGTAGTCCTACAGTAGAGTAGGGCAGAAGAGCTTTTGCTTCAGAAGAGTCCTTGCAGCTATAGCTTCTATAGTGTTCTAGGAAATAAGTGCATCTGAAAGTGACCTACGAAATCAGTAGCTCAGAACTAGTCTTTTATTGGAGTTGTATTGGTGCCTGTTTCTCTGGGAGCAGGGAGAGAAGATGCTGTGCTTCAGAACAGATAACCTTTCCCAACCTTACAGTTTATAGACATGTTGCATTCCATCATTCCCAGCGCACAGTTATGTTATGAGGTTTGTACTGTGTCTGGAAAAAAGTGCCAAAAGAGAGGTTGCAATTTTAAGGTGACAAAGAGAACACTTAAGGATTAAAAGCACCATTAGGGATCAATGGCGATAATCCACATGCCATTCTCCCTAAATCCCACTGCTTATTCCAGAAGTAATGACTTTATTCTATTTCAGTTTTAAACTTTTAACAGCAACAAATTAATGTCCCATTTCTAATGTTTAATACCTTGTTTCCCCGAAAATAAGACCTAACCTGAAAATAAGCCCTAGTAAGGTTTTTAGGATGCTCCTAATATAAGCCCCACCCCCAAAATAAGTCCTAGTTAAGTGAAAACCCCACCCTCCACCATTGTGCAGCAACCAGAAGATGACGTGACAGTGTTTGAATAAATGTAGATTGCTATATGTGAAAAAAACATCCCCTGAAAATAAGCCCTAATTCGGGTTTTGGAGCAAAAATTAATATAAGACCCCATCTTATTTTCACGGAAACACTGTAGTAATGAATTTTTGAAACCTGGTGTTTGAAGCTCTCACTCTTCTTTCAGTATGCCTTGCTGACATGTCAGAAGTACCTCTGGTTGAAGGGCTCTTTCCTGTGCTGAAAGCTTTTCATGTTTAAAGCACAAGTTTTGCAGAGGTTCTCGAGAAGCTGGCTACTTTTTATCCAACCAGGCAACCTCAAAAGTTCCGTATCATTCCTCTGTGCAAGTTCTGTCTTTTTCTTGTATTTGTAACTAATATCCTGCTAGTACCCGAGTTCATGTGCAGAGTCCCAGCTGCTGCATATCGCAGATTTGGAAGAGGAGCAGACCATCTGTGATCATGTGGGCCACTATTCTGACAAAAGAGTTCATATCCCAAACAGAAGGTAAACCTCCATGCTTTAAGGTCCCGCAGGCAAAGTTTGGCCTGGGGGTTACATTTGGCCCAGCGAGTGCCCCCCCCATGTGCACCCAATTGCTTCTGACACCTTCCCTCATTCTGAGTTTTTATGTCCAAAGTAGCAGATGGCTTGCATAGAATCCTAAAAGGGAAAATCACAATTTGGCACATGAAGGCAATTTCTTGTCCTTGAACACCCATCAGACCTGCTTCCAAAGAGTGACATGAGTGTATGAGTGACACTGCCAGCTTTGACCACCCCTGCTTTTTCAGGCAGTCTAAAAAATATAGTTATGATCCAAACTGTGGAGCCTCTGGAGAAGAGACTGCTGATTCTTGAAGACTGCGCCTTCATAACCTAAATAAAACCTTCCTTGCGTTGTTTAGCTTGCACCACTCCATGGGGCATTTTTCTTGCTTATACACAGCTCTCTTTTGCAGAAGAAAGAATGGGACTGGGATGAAAACAAGCTGCTGGTGATGCATGACCCGATCTACAGGTAAGCAAGGAATGCTTGCTGCTAGACGGCAGCGGAAGTGGTAACCAGTACCAGGATGTATACAGGAGACATGATTTTTTTATTAGGAATTGTTCCCCCTTTGCAGAAAAAAGGCTTTTAAAAAGGATACTTGAAGATAGAAAAAGAAATAATAGAAGAAGTAGGAGCAAAAAGAGGTAATAGATAGAATCATAGAATTATAAAATAATAGAGTTGAAAGGGGCCTATAAGGCCATCAGATCCAATCCCCTGCTCAATGCAGGAAGAGGTAAAAGCATTTTTGTCCAACTTTGTGGGTATGCCCCCTCCTGACCACTACTATCCATTCTATCTGAAGTTTATATCC